ACTTATTTCCAGCACGACAACGACCCTAAGCATACGGCGGAAGTTGTGCGTCTGTGGCTACTATACAATACGCCACACACTTTAAAAACACTCCAACAAACCGTCCAGTCCCTGGACGTCAATCCTATTGGACATTTGTTGAGCGAGTTGAAGAAAAGACTGCGCAAGCGCTACATCACGAACACACAACAACTGAAAGAGGTCCTGCAGAAAGAATTGCAAAAGCTTGACACGAATGTGACACGCACATTGGTTCAATCCATGCCTAAGAGGCTTAAAGCTATTGTACGCAGCAAGGGTATGCAAACAAAGTACTGAGACAAAATGTAATGGTTAATTTTATAATTTTCAGGGAATGGACGAATACTTATATCCATAAACGAATGTCCCTCATGGTTATGTTATGCATATCTCTTGAATGTCGGATAATATATCTTGCTTTTTGTGCTATCAGCAGGAGGTATTGATGTATTCTCATTTCTGTTGCAAATCCCGTGTCCCTAGTTCCCTTGTTTACTGGCATACAGCTCATTTCACAAACCACTTGCTCTGGACGAATACTTTTGTCCATGACTGTATGTATGTACTTGGCGCGACAGCCCGTGAACGGGCTCAGACCAACAGGCGACGTCCCTGCTTCGCGGCAATGGGTTAAGGTGGTACGTGTGGTTAGCACGTAGACATCCCCACGCTGTATTCAGGCCCTCTCAACCTGAGAAGTGAATTTTCGCATCGTCACACAGCAACATATACTGGGACATTGCAAAGGAAAACGCACACTATATTCTTGGCTCGACCGGGAATCGTTCTGTCTATCTATACATGTAATAAATAGATGCGGAGGTGGAAATAGCAACAAAAATGATTTTACTCACACAGTCAATAAATTGAGCAGAATGAAAATGAAAAAAATTCAAAGTTCGGAGACTTGATCATCCCGATTTCGATAAATGGCAAAGCATTTATATTCCTAGTTTAAGTTCGCTTATAGGGCTGGCCCTTGTTACTAGAGGACAAGTTTCCTAAAGCTTCCAAGTTTGCATGTTCCAATCGGGCTGCGGGTGACTGATTTTAAAAAGACATCAGGTGTACCTTGCAACATTTATGACAAAAATACCTGGAATCACTTGCACATTATTTAATAATTAAAAACGTTTAACTTAGTCACAAAGTATCCACTATTTTTTGTATCTCCGAATCTGTGCAGTGTTTCAGAAGAAATGTATACATTTCTAGGGCGCGTAGAGGAGTGAAAATTGTCACTTTTGCCAAAGCAGATACAGTCAGAAATTTCATACAGCGATGTTACATGTGTCATTTAACTTTAATTGGTAACAAATTAAAACACATCAAAGATACAGTTACGATATTTTAAAAAAATGTGGAGTGTTCGAACGGTTGATTATTTCGTGTTTCCTGAAGCGAAACAGCTATGGACATTAGTATCGTAAGTATAGTGGTAGATTTTATCACTGGAGGAGATGGAGATCTTCCCGCTGGATGTAGAGATCCGAAACTGACCCACATGTCGGCTTTCAGGGTTTCCCATCAGGTGTCTCACATCACCGGTGCACCGCCTTCGCCGGGACAAGCTCTAAGCTCCCAACTGGTCTCCGATATGCGTAGTAGAGCAGTGCATGTAAATAAGCGTTTGTAAGCAAGGGGATGAGGATGCAAGGAAGAGGAATAATAGATCGTGTGCGGTCCGCTTGTTAGGGTACTGCTCAGGAAAACGCCTGCAGTTGATCGCAGCAAACTTAAAGCAACCGTGCACTAGAATTCACCGCCAGGCAGAGACTAAATTGAATCTGCCTAGCTGCCACCGTCGGGACTAACATGACCCCCGGCCAGAAGCAGTGCAGTGACATCAGTTGATGCCCTAAGCCACTTTATCCCGTGTGTGTTCGCAATAGGCAGAACATATCTCAACTACTTACCAATAAACGAGCGCAAAATGTGTAGTGATTTTTTATAATTGCTAAAATGGTATATAAGATTTAACAAGTATTGTTTCTTTGAATGCTACTAAAAATCTTTTTATTCGGGAAAAAGAAACATGAAAATTGAAATGAATATGTAATAAATATTCAAATGAATGTCAGGTCAATGCCCACCATCATGATCAGGTTTACATCCAGCTTCCCTTGATATAGTAATGGGACACTATCTTCTGTCTTGCTCTTGGCACAGAAATAGTGCATCTATATCCCATGAACGCCAGATACAGATTTCACAGTTCTTGGACATATACAGTAAAATAAAATCCAATTATTCCACTCAATGGGGGGGAGGACTTCTACCAATAATAGTATTCACATTGAATAGCTATGCTGTGGGAAACCATGAATATTCTAGGCGAGGGAGCAAGTGACTGAAAGCGCTGTCACTCGCTCCGTCCGAGGCTCCTAGCCATCTGCGGTTTTTTCACAAAGAAATCTTAATTAATACTGAATTTAAAATTTATTTTTATTCGTTGATTCATAGTTATTTATAATGTATTAAATTAAGATACTGAATACCTTTCGTTGCTATAGAAAATTAGTAAACTGTAACCTCCATGATTTGTCTTTTGCTCCCTCCCCTCCTTGTCATATAAAATTTTCTCATTACAATTCAATAAAACGAACTGCCTTATTAAATATTTGAATCATCCAATTAATAAAAATGCCTAAATCATTTGAAAGAATTTGTTTATCACAATGAAGAATTTGAAGAAAGAAAAAAAAACAATCGAAATGATAATTGGAACTTTTCATTGAAAAACACAGAAGCCTGATTCTGATATTTTTCCGAGAATCCACCTCTAGATAATTTAAGAACTAGGTATTTTTACGCATTTCTTCATACTACATAATATTATATAATAATATGTTCAGGACTAAAAGTTTCAAAATACAACGAAATTGCCTGTGGTAAAATCTATACCATACATTGAATGAAAACGGCAGTTACCCGATTAGGAATAATCAAACAGGCCTACACACCTCCATGGGTATGTGGGATTCTTGTACGGTATAATTGAACCATTTTCACGTGAAGACCTGAAGAAGCAATTAACTACTTAACTGAGACACTCGTGTTTTCTTCCACATTATTGGTATTTCTTCTTCAATATTTGCAAATCAATAACCGAATAGCACATACGACAGTTTCGGAAAGTATTATGCTTCACCTAAAAGCAGTTCAAAGACAAATTGTTCCTGTTTCCGGACCTATCTAATGAGAGAGATGGTAGATTTCGATTCGGTGTGAAGTAGAATTTTTTCGAAGCTGCCAATAGGGCACATTCAAAAATGAACTTTTCGTACATACTTAATGAGACAAGTTATATGAATGAATATTCTACACAAGTACTAAAAATGTATTTTAAAAATATTTTTTAAACTGAAAATATAATTTTTTCCATTTAAAAAATTCAAATTTGGGACAAAACGGACGACAAATGCCACAAGCAGGTCGAGGCGGGTTTGGCAGAGGACGATGCGCTGGAAACTGCAACGAAACTGCAGCTGAAAATCCAGAAATAGAGCGCATATTACGTAAGAATACGCAGGGAAATCCCTTTCTTTCTGTGGGGTCTTTCTGACTGCTGGTAGTCGCCTCCTGCCGAGCAGCGAAAGCTCTGGAACCAGCGCCCCGCACGTGCCGACGTTCGGCCGAACTGAAGGTCATTCACGAACTGCTCTTCCTGGCATCGTCGGCCTAATACGCCAGACGATACGAATACTGGGAACATTCTCCTGACACTTAGGAAAGCAACTCACGAGCAGGGGTGTGGCCAGTGAGGAGAAGCTGACATACGCCATGGAGATCTCCTTTTTTATCGTTCCGAAGTAGCTTCCTAAGCATTATCATCAATTAGTGCCTGAATCAGTATATGCTGCTGATGGGAAGAGAATCGATAACACCGAATTTATTAACAAAATCTCTCGTTTTCCACACACTGTCCTTTTTCGTCTGTTACACTATTATTAAACACCAAAACGGTTAATAAATGTCTCGTCCTCTTCATCGCATATCCCTCACTTGGCTTTTGAAATTCCTTGAATTTTCGTTTTTTACACTATATTTGTACTAACAAGGGAATGCCGCGATGAGACATGTCGAAACCTGTCCTAATCCTTTTCATCGGAAGAACATGTATTAATCTCACGATCAAAGATTTGAGTGCCAATACGCACTGCAAGTCCATTAAAAAACATTCTGAATTTGATAATTGGCCCTATGCTTTCACCGACCTGCATGGCCAACCCTACAAAGCAGCGCGCTCGCTAGTGATTCAGAACGACTGCTCGCCGCAAGCGGCAGACCAAGGTCGTTTCCTACGAGAGGCAGGCGGGCAGGCAGCTGCCCCTCCTAGGATATAATAGCACTAATATTAACTATAGATAGTCTAAACTACTAATACAAGTTTTTCCGAATTTTAATTTTATCTGTTTTTCATTTTTGTAAGAAATAGATTTTGTCGTGATAAATCATGCCGCAACCGCTCATCTTCCATCCAACATGAGCTACCTCCCCTGGAGCTTTTCTTACGAATTTGAGAGCTGTCTGCATGTACTGCGATCAAGTGTGTTGTGTAATCACACGCGAAAAGTCGGTGCAAACTGGAAAAGTGCGGTAAAGTAAGTCTTTCGGAATTTACGAATGAGAAAATTGATTTATGAAAATATTTAATAGGCACAAATTAAAGAACGGTAATTTTCGCGAGTAAAAACCAAAATGAGGCCATTACATGTAAATTTGATTCACAAAACAACTCTTAAATTGCTTTTTTACATAATTTAAATATAAAGTGATAGAGTAGTTATATGATATACGTTTTCAATATTTAATAATTTTGCATATTGGCGATATTCATAATGAAAACGAACAAACTATCATTGGTAAGGAAATAAAATATCTCAAATAAAATGGAATTTTACAATAAGAAAAGCGTTAGGTGTACTGGGAATGGCCTGCTCTCACCAAATATCATTTGACCTTGAGGAAACAACCCTCTACAACGCCAACCTCGGCCCCCGAGCGTTCGCCGCTCGGCTTGTGAGAGCTGTCCAAGTTCTCTGTAGAGAAAAAAAATAGTTCGAAAATGTTGGCAAATTTGTAAATTTTTAAAGTAACTGGCAGTATGTATAGGCAGCGATAATTTACATCATTGGTATCAGAAGGGCACGTAAATTCAATGAAAAAAATATGAGGGCATGTTTCGACAGGTCACACCGCGGCATTCCCTTGTAAATCCCAAGTACATGCACAAATACTCAGGCAATTAAGTCCTGAACTACTTTAACACACAATTCTTTCAGTTGAAACGTATTCCTTTACTATCGGGATATTTTCTTCGAAACTGTCAACCTATACAGCAGATCGTTTTCCCCCACCCAATTTTAAGATTACATTGCACCCACTTTTCTAACACACAGCTATTCTCTTCTTAGTGCATCAAAATGTGGTGTAACCAGGAATTTTGTAGTTAACTTAGCAGAAGAAAATTTTTCTCTGTTTGCTGCCCGCCATTTAAGGAACTATAGTTTGCAAATGAAGGCGAATTTGTTCTACGTTAACAAAACAATTGGTGGTGAAACAATGTATTCCATTTATCCGTTCTAAAAATACAGTATTAAAGATATTAAATACACATCCAAATCAGTGTCAACTGCATTTTTATTCCTTCAATTTTCAAACTTCTAAACAATCACATTTTGTTACTTGAAAAAAATACTTTGGGTTCTCACCGATCAGCTTCGCCCGCGCCCCCGCTTCGCTGCTGCTCCACTGCGCCGCATCGTCTCCTTCCCTCTTGGGCAGGGAATGGCTGCTTCCTCCGCCACCATCGCGGCGACAGCCGACGGCAACCTCTCCGCCCTCCCGGGGCCATCACCTGAAATAGCCCAACAGGAGGCATTCCGAGCAGAAGGGAATCAAGTCATAATAGTTAACTTGTGAGAAAAATAGGCATAAAGGGCTTATGGAACAATTGACTACAGAGAAAATTTTAACTTCCTTTGAAATTATTATAAGATTATTATAAGAATAGTAGAATATACTACTTTGTTTAATGAAACTTTTAAGCTCTGAAAAGAGCATCGGATAGATATTTTAAATACGAAATAGGCGCAGAAAGACCAAAAGCAAAGTTGACTACCTTGTGCACTTATCACACATCTCTGAGAAGCACTCTCTTTAATTTCAGAACAGTCCCAGAATGCAAATCATAGTTTCGTTTTTTTAAGAAAAGTATTATCTTTCATAGACATTTTAGGAGATTTGCTGTAACAATGCTGGAACGTCGACAATGCCACCATTTTCTACTCTTGCACAAAGAAAGTGAAGTAATGCAGAAGTAAAAAGATAGACATGTACATTTTTACTGTAATTTGACAATAAAGACATTTTGAGAAAGGAAACTAGTTCAGATAGTGGGAAGAACAACTTAACTCTAACTAAATGGGTATAATAAATTGCTTTTTTTACTCATTACATACTGATAATATGATATTAATTATTTAATTACGTATATTGAGTGTTTGGTAAGCACTTTCGTTACCTGAAATTTTGGATTTTTCTAGTACTGTCTACTTCATAGCATTTCTCTTTGAAACAATTCTTTAATGCATTTAACTATTATCACACAACACTAATATTACATCGTGTAGCATCCACTTACTGTACTGCTAGAGAAATACCACTTCAGCGAGAGATTCTTTGAACTAAGTTTAATATATTCCCTTTAATATCAAATTCTTCACAATATGTATTTTTGTTCTTCCTATTGGTGTATAGAAATATTGGATACAGCTCTCCACGCCGTCTGTAGGCAAAAAGTGCCTCGCCTGAAGTAACTTCCGAACAGCTCTGTTTAATTTTGGTAAATAGTAATAATAAATTAATATTACTCTCTTTTGTTGAACATTTTATTTAAATTCAATTTAAAATACATTACTTGTATTATTTTCAAAATTCCCTGCATTACCTACTTCAGGCTTGAACTATCGCCTGTTGAGGGGGCATGATTCGCTTCACATCCCTACGCAATATTTCGATAAATTATTTCATTTTATGTGAAAACAGGTAAATGCCAGAGGCTTAGTAGGTATTGAGGCGCTCATGGCAAGCATAGAATTTGCTCTCCTGACAGGATACTTAAAATTAGGGTGGTTGTTATTTGTTTTAGCGTGTTACTCTAAATAGCGCCCCTTGTGAGTGGCGCCATACTGTAGATACGCTTCTGGTAAATACTATTCATTTCACGTATTATGTCAAATCCCCGACCTTAACATACACTTACAAAAATATTAATTTCATTTACATTTCGTTTCGTAGCATTAACTATCAAATGGGGGAGTGCAGTGCTGTCCAACTTTCGTACGGTGAATATCACATCACCTCCAATCTAAACTTGAATATTACTAAGTTGGTAAATTTGGAAGATTTCGCATATCAAACTTCCAATTTCACAAACGTTTACAGAAGTAAATGGAGTAAAAATGGTAAACACTGATTCCGGCTCAAGTTTTGAAAACTGGCTAAATCTGTTACCAAATTCTCTTGCTACAGTTTTAAGAGGATGAGCAAAAGATTGAAGATCATATTTACCGCCATTCACAGTTTCCGCTATAGGCATCATATTTGGAAAATGAGAAAAGGAATTGTTTATTAAAAGTTAAATCCTTCACTTCAGTTTCTTTTGAAAATCATTTTCTACATTTATTCTGCCTGAAATGAGTGCGATTATTCCTTTATAATCCCATATTTAATTTTGCAGTGATATCTGCCACGAATGCTAGACCCAGTAGCTAAGATATAATATGATCGAAAAAAAAAATATAAGGGCAGAGGCGTTGGTGCCGACGATCTTCTGTGGCGCTGTTTGATTTCAGGTGCTGAGGAGGCCAAGCACTGGAAGGAGACGGCGGGACGCCCACGCCAGAAAATAAAATAGCTAAAATAAACGTCGGATAGATTAGAATGTACTCGGCTTCTGACGGCAGGTTTTTCCCCCTTCAGGGGTTTTTTCCTGAGCCGTACCTTATGGTCTCTTTTCCGCGGCTTTAATGCGATGGAGAGACCATTTGGGGTGAATACCAGAATTCGAAAGATTAGAACGCGAAAGGATGTAGGTATTGTAATGGCTTAAAGGCCTTCGGCCTAGCCACATAGGATCAAGTTAACTAATTTTGTCTGTAATAATTACCTATTAAATAAAATAAAATATAATATGATCATGTCCCTTATGATGTTGACCTGAAGATATCAGAAAATTTCTGATCTCATCCGGCCCTGTTCCGTCTACATGGAGAATTACCTCAATCTACTCAACGTACAATATTCTGCATCCAAAAGATTTCTAAATAATCTATGGCAAGTAGAAGACGATCTGATGCTATTTAACTCATGAGTTAAAACTTTCATTGCTTGGTTGAACTTCAAAATTTTGCACGTAAAGATTGTGGACAATACAGTGATATGAAATAATTATGATATGAAATTCTGAAAATGATCCATCCCGAACAAAAATATCGCGAAATCCATTATTCCTAACAATCACTGAAAGACCCCTTGTGTCGTTATGGTATCAAGTTTTGAAAGGGGAACGTTACTAGTGCATTCATTTTTTTCGTGTATAGGCCAAGTCGGACCACGCGTGCATCCTGCTTCAGCAGGTGCAAGTACCTTCCTGGGGGGGGGAGGTAGCATTTTCGCTGAATCCTGATTTTTATCACCCAAGCTCTGGAGGTATATACGATGATGATGATGATGATGATGATGAATGAAAGGACGGCACCCACATATAGACATACACAAACACACCCATGCCTAACGTGGGACTCGAACCCGCCGTCTTCTGGTCCGAGAGTGCTACGGCACTACGATCTTGGCCATCTGACCGGCAGTTCGTCCGTTTAATGGAAGCAGTTTCACAAAATCTTCCCTTATTCACAAGTCCTCAAACATTTTGATACTAAGTTATAGTATACAACTGTTCAATATCAGTGCTTTCATTACACTGAAGTGAAACGTATTTACACAATGCCCAGTTATAATATAATTGACATTCCAAATTATTAGAAATCTGCTCGTCTCATCTAGCAACAGATTGATGTGACAATTTTAGTCGTGAAATGCAAGACATACTGTAAGTGCAGACTTACCTTTATGATCGTCGAAGAGATATTCGGCTGCACTTACCATTGCATTTTAACCAACTCCCCATCACGTTTTTTTCTGTTAGCTAACACAACAGATTTTGTAAGACGGTATTGTTACGTTATTAGATGGCTCAGCGACTTGCTAAAAACGCATTATAGTATAGAAAATTTTGATTTTTGATTTCTTTCACTTAGTGTTTTCTTAGTTAGGAAATATTTTTGGCAGTTATCGTGATTAGTCAGAAAATTACGTTCAATAATGCTTTTCTTACGAACGGAAACGTTGCAATTACACAACAAACACACTGGATTTCCTCTGCATCCAATAAAACGATACACCCTCTCCCATGTAGCTTTAAAACTACAAGTTATTTCCTTTTGGCCATATCCTATAACGATTAGCAACGAGTAGTACTCGTTAATAACTGTATAATGTAAAAAAGAACTAATTAAAAAGTGTATACCTCACTGAAAGAAGGTTACTACTCGTCACAACACATTACACACGAGAATTGAACTGTAACTCACCACCAACTTCTCAGGTTATCTCAAAAAAACAATGTTTTGACTGAATTGAACCAACATTGAAATGATACTACTAATCCTATCAGCTCAAGACTAATATTCCTGCGTAACTGCGAACGCCGGGTTGGCTCCTGAGAAGTTCACCAGATTCTCAAGCCGGCCTCTGCAACGCATCCCTTGCAAGATAATCGAACGAGGGAAATGTCGAATATAATATTACCTTCCATATTTCTTTGAACAATAAATATGATAATCACTTTCGTAGATGCCGTTACCGATCGCAATAAAATGAATTCACTTACTAAATGAATATACAAAACCTTATTCGCTCACGCTTAAGAAATATGCAAGGCTTTACTAACAGTGAACCATTTTAACTCACTAAGATTTAATAAATGCTTTTCTTGAATTTGCCATCAAATACGAAAAATCGCACAACTGGATTTGCATGTGAAACGCGCCAGAGAAGTACATTGCGGGAAAAGCGTTTGAGAATCAGAATTTTTTTTCTCCCAGGTAGCTACGGCCACGCTCTGACACACCGTTCCACCGTCATCCCTCCGCCATCCCTCCGCGGAGTGACCTTCGATCACCACCGCAGATTGGCTGCTTCTTCCCCTGCCTTCTTACTGCCCGCCACTGAAGCGCTGCGTCGCCGGTCCCACACCACACAACCCTCAGCAGTCCGTCTGCGTTACTACCGCAACATTTCATGAACAACTTCAATCTTATATTCATGTTCAAACACTGTTGTGAGGAGGAGGAAAAAGTCAAAGTACTTCAGAAAATGAAAGAAAGCTAACTGTAGTTAGGACGATGGAGAGAGAGTAATTGGTTACTAATTATTTATTCTTAGATACATGTATATCCTAATAAATATTGTAAACTTGATACTTTTTAGAAAATAGTTTTGGTTAATACTAATTTTGGATAATTTTTATACTTTGCAGAAAACGAATGTCTTTTTGCTTTTAAAATGAAACATTATTATATACATTTCACCATATTTATATCATGCAAAAATAATTTTCTAACGATTTTCTCTCCTAGATCACCAGTCTTTCGGAAACGTCTGAAATATACCTGAAACATTTTAACACTGCACTACGATTGCCGATTTTTACCTTCGGTTACATACTACATTACTTTTTACTATGAAAGCAACGCCGTGCCTTAATGGGTTAGTGTTTCAAAACTTTCGTTCTTCCCCGACAGCTTCGTCGCCTCCCTC